CAAGAAGAGAGAAATAAATTATTTCCAGTTTGTGGCTAATATGAGAGGAGGTTTCAGTGACATGGCTTCCTACCCCCTAATCAAAATAAACATGATGGATCCATTCAAATAACATTTGCTGGTATTTATAAAGGATTATAGCAAAAGCAAAAATTTTACTTGTTGGTTTCCCTCAAAGTGTGAATTTTGTTTCTTTTAAGAGATAATGTATGAATTAAACAGTACAATAAGTCTGAATAATGATTCTGAAAATTTTGTAGTTTGGCAGCTGGGGCTGGTTCAGAGACCTCTGCTGATTCAGAGCTGAGCATAGTTTTGCTTTATGCTTCACCATATAAAGAATGGATATTGCCTTGTAAAATATATGGTGGTGCTTTAGTGTAAAATATTGGCAACTGAAATGAAAAGTAAATATAAATTACAGCATCAGTAGAAGTTAAGGTTACCCCAAACTAATAGAGAGCTTTATTTTTTAAACAACATAGAGCTGCTTAAACAACAGAATTTGCATCTCTGAATAATGTTCCAATCTTCACAGCTCCAGTTAATGAGTTACATTAGTCATAAATCCCCCTTTAAGAATTCTGTTGGAAAAACATCTTAGACTGGGTGTTTGGTTTTTAAATTATAGTGATATGTAATACAAAACACAATGTTTTTATCCTTTCAACACCATAATGAATCTTGGAAAATGCATCAGTGCAGGGCAAATGATTCATCACATATTGCTGGTGATCAGGATTGACATTTAGAAGTCCAGATGTTCAGAAGTTTGGACATGAAGCCTATTCCTTCTGTTTGACATAGGTATAAAATGTCAGTATATGTAGCTAACCTGCTGGTATGGCATTCTACCATATGCCAAGGAAGTTATCACTGATTTTATCTGTGAGATCCTGGGGGAGAAAATGGATGTTCCAGTCTTGGATGGATTTTGTTCCATTAAAGAAATTGTATAGATACAGAAATTAAATCTGATTTTTACCCTGAAGTGTTACTAAACTAAACATCAGACAAGTATCAAGTGTGAGCACACATATCACCTTGCCTAAGGAAAGCGATGAGACAATACTGATGAGTGTGGCTGGCAAAGTTCTCAGCACAAGAACACTCAACATAATTCTGAGATCTTTTTCACCTTTCACATTAAAAGCATCTTATTTTTTCCTGTTCAGCACCCTTTTGCAGATCCTTTAAATTCATATTACAAATTTTGAACACCACTAGGTTTTTACAGGTGCTGACTAGTTCTAGATTTAGAGACAACCTGAGGTTGAGCTTTGGAAAATCCTGGCAAGATTTCTAGTCTTTTCTCCTCCATCGAAAGGCTACTACTACATAGCAACTCACTCTCGTCTTGGCTGTAGGGTTTTATACTGCAGCACATCACACTCATAAACCAGTATCTTCCAGCAAAAATCAACTGCAAATTAAACAATTTCACAGATCTTCACAACTCCTCCCCTCTTCCAGTCCAACCTCAGCTTCTCATGCATTTGACAAATTAATTACTAAAATTTAAGTTTTAACATAGCCTAGTTAATCCTGCTAAAACAAGAACAGAATCTTTCTTTTTTTCCTTATTTAAACAAACAAACAAACATAAAAATCCTATGGACCTCAAAAAACAGTTTTAGTTCAAGTGATACATGCATACTTTTTAGCTAGCATTCTT